CTTCGAACGCATCAGAACCACAATCCAATAATGAGGAAAATGATGAAGTCACTGTAAGTTGCCTTAGTCGAGGTCTACCGTCAACCGCCATCATTTACTAAAAAAGCAGTGCACCGCCTCTGGAGATGCTGCTTGAGCACTCTTTCCGGGATTTGACTGGCAGGATAAGTGTTTTCCTATTTGTCACAACAAGGGGGAGGCCAGCCTCCCAGCGGTCCTCGAGCAATCCAATGGAAAAGTGCGAATCCCGGTCTATCTCACATCGAAGCGACTGGTCTTCAGGCCTGTTTCGGGCTGCGATGCTGCAAGCTCGCTGACGCTTGCATACTGCTAACGCATTTACAAACAGACACCCCCTGGGGGCTTCAGTCCGGGGTGGGGTTCGTTTAGGTCTAAATAAATAAACACTGGTCTGTAACGTGCCATCAGGTTGCAGACTCCGCCCCTGCGTTGCAAAAAAGGAAGAGATGAGGGTGCTTTTAATGTCCGTGCGTGTTCGTCAGTGACTGATTCGGCATGACATATACCTGAAATGTAAACTTTCGTAACTCTGTGGCCAGACTCGTCCGACTCGGACAATGACCTACGGTTTACAACGGCGTAAAAGTGAACCGACTATTTTGCCGTGTCCTCTAAGGTGGAATCCGCATTCCATAGCATGATTGCCCACTTTGAGTAAAAAATGCGCGCAAAATCACGAAATCTCACCAACTGTACATTGCTTATCATTTTAGAGCCTGAAGGTTGTTAGTGAATTTCACCCACACAGCGGTGGTATCAACGGCTAGTACTAAAAACAAGTAACAATTTTGAGCGTGGGATGCACGTGTTTACCAAACGGTGCGTGATAAGGACTAAACACCGGTTGTAGACCTCGTACTACGATGCTTCCTTTTCATAATTCCTGCTTGTTGGCTTTGTTTTTCCAACCGCTTCATTAGATTTCTCCTTTTTTAAAATCAAGATTATACGACCGGAAACCCATCCCGCAGCCTTTGTTCCCATCCCACCAGACGGAGGATGGGGCTGGGTAATCTGTTTCGCCGCTTTCCTCACGAATTTGGTCATTGATGGCATCTGCGTGTCATTTGGGGTGATGGTTAACGACCTTGTGGAGTCCTTTGAAACATCGGTCTCCAAGGTCATGCTAATAGGGTCCCTCCTCGTCGGCGTCTACCAGATGGTCGGTAAGTGTCACTGGGATGTTCACATGCTTGCCCACTTTACTTATGATTTGCCAAATTACGTGCTGAGTTCGGCTTTTTTTACATCTATGGCCCTCTGGTAGTTCGACCATCGATTTTGATGTTAACCATATGCCCAAGAGCAGGGATGGTGACGAGATTTAAGTGAAATAGAAACGCAACTGTCTACCTCACTCTAAACCCTCTCCCCGCTTGAACCGGTGACAAGACAAAGTAGGCCGCTCTCTCTAGTGGAGACCAGAACACCGCCTAACCTAGTGTTAAGTGACAGTAGACTTTGCGCGGGTACTACCGCACTATCTATCCCCACCCACCTTCGGTAGGCGTGAAGACAGAATCGAAGAAACCAAGGCTGGTACTGCTACTACTATTTCTACTACTACTAACTAGGAGTTTGCCTGAGTGTTAGTACTACAGGCACTATTTCTGACGTTAGTATTTATCAGAGGTGTGGCTGATTAAAGTAAACGCTGGGGCTCATATCTCCTCGATCTCAACAAGGAGGGTGATTCTAGGTTTAAGCTATTCCGAGCAAACACATGTTCGATGCTCGGAGCACTTCATGGCTTGCCTTAGTTTCCGCCCTCTCCCCTCTGTCTACCAAAAGCTGTGCCACATTTTACAAAGTTTGGGCAAGGATACTGCTACTATAGGTAATATGGCACTGCTATCGGTGCTTATTCTGGTAATCATATTTACTAAGACCAGCTGATAGTATATTCTAGTAATATATTCTTATAATTGTATCTATAGGTGACATGCATACTATTTTTGTACCAAGCATAACATATGGGCGAATATGAGTTTACGCGCGTCCTAACCTTCATCTGGGCTGATTTGTAAGACACCCGGGCGAGCTTTCACCCCCTGTAAGACTGTCACCAATAACTTGCAGTGGGTAGACAAATACTCCTATCCGTTAGCAGGACGCCTATGGTCACTCGCGATTGGATGGTTGAGTGACCCATTTTTAGTCACACGGTCGCGGCTAACTGCTTTGGCCATAGTACGATTACACAGAGGATTCGAATAGGCGCCAGCAGTCCTTTGGCCATGGCCAGTTTTGAAGCATTTCATGCTGCGTTTTTCCTTTTGTGACGCATATGTGGCCTAGTCTGCTCGCACTCTCCTTCTCGCAACCAGTGACTCCGCGCATGTCCTTTGGCAGTTTTAGGAGGTCAGGAGCCTTCCACTTGGAATCGGTCTCCGGCCCCTACGTTCATGGCTGTTTAATTTTCCTCATGAAATCGTAGTTGTTGTCACGGTCTACGGTAGGCTCCAGAAATCTGTCAGAAAGTAATGTTTTGAATGGTTCCTAGTAGAATGGTCATAAGGGACGACTTACCTTAATTCCTAACATAGACTGTGCAGAAATATATCAC